CCGAAACGAGGCACTTCCAGCACTAACGTTGTGCTACAATCCAGCACAATCGAGCGACAATCCGGAACAAGGCACTTCCACTACTAATACTAACACTAATCCTAAGACGAATACTAATACTAATACTAATGCTAATGCTAATACTAATACTAATACTAATACTAATACTAATACTAATACTAATACTAATACTAATACTAATACAAATACAAATACAAATACAAATACTAATACTAATACTAATACTAATACTAATACTAATGCTAATGCTAATACTAATACTAATACTAATACTAATGCTAATACTATACCACCGGCTACCGACTTAGTCACGGGGCCTCGTTTTACCTTGAACCCATCATCAAGTTTATGGAGGTTAGACCTTGACAGCGGGGGGGGGTTTGTTAATCAGGAACCCGCATTATCCAAGCATGTCTTTTGAATGAAGGACATGACTAAGGAGGGGTGGCTGAAGTGTGAGAGGAATGCGGAGATCATCGCCTTCGATGTCCTAATCCCTCTGATTTCTTGCTATCTTCCGCTGTCATCATCCCAGAAAGAGCCCCGTCACTAGCGGCTACACTAGCCGGGTCGGAAAATCAGCCGAGGAACAGAGAATTCCTTGTTTTAGGAGCGGCTTCTGAAAGGGGGTTTAGGGTCTGGGGTTCAGGGTAGCAGACAAGAAGCAAGGCACACCACGAGATTGGTGACCAAGCTTGCTACAGCGGCAGCTGTCATGGATGGGTCCTCTGCCCGCTTGGGCGGCCATGGGACACTGGCATCTCTGCGACTCTCCCTCTCTTTGCCTTGCCATCTTGGAGGGTCCGAAAATTAAGGGTACCTTACTCTGGGGTCCTTATAAAAAGGATCCTACTATTTAGGGTACTATATATGGGTCCCCTATTTTCGGAAACCCCCATTTTGGAGGGTCTCACTAAGGTTCAGGGCTCAGGGTTCAACTAAGTCGCAGGGGTTGCAATTGTGGTTTAATCACGGTGTGAGGTTTCGGGACCTACTGCTGCACTGCCCAAATTATATAGTCCGGATTGCAAACTCAAGCTTTAAGCTCAGAGAATAAAAGAAGGATGCCCTTGCACCAAACAGAAGGAACGTTAGCTACAACACTTGTGGAAGCAGCAGAAAGAAGTAGCTGTACGTACGGGAGCAGGCGGATTTGGTCAGTGGCAGGTCTTCGAATCACCCGCTCTCGCGAGGGTTTTGGTGTCGGTGGAAGACCTATATTTTGCGGGAGGGGTGAAGGGGTGCACTTCAGTATCTTCAGGAGCTAAGGCACAGTATCTGGGCTCACAGCCGTTCTAACGGTCCCTAGACTCATATCTTTTCCTTATGAGGAGCTCCTAAGCCAAAAGGGTTGCTATTTGGGGACATGGTGTTTCAACAACTATCACGTGCGACTACAGGGACCTCAACCAAAGTCCCAGATGTCCTCGTCCCTTCGCGCTCTGCTGCGCTGCAGCCCGGCGATCGTTTGCTCAAAGTCCAAGGCGAAGGCCTTGGCTGGACATGTTCTACCCTACTAAACCCTAAACCCTATACCACCCCCAAAAATCCCTCCAAAACCCTATGCTTCTTTTTTGCTTTAGGGTTTAGGGGCCTGGTTTGACCAGCTGGGAAGCACCACACTGCGGAATTCCTAAACCGTGAACCTGAATACAAAGCTCAAACCCTAAACTTCATGGAACGGCTTGTTCGCTGGATGGGCACTTATATGGGGTGTCGAAGGTTTAATACTGGCACATGTATTGCCGGAGCCTTAGGAATACGACTATCAATTCTTCGATTCGGCTCCGAACTCCGAACTGACATATATCCGCCATAGTCGGGACCGAACAGGCATGGTTCAGCTCCATTATACTCCTAAGTCAGGGGCTCCAGTTTAAAATGAAGGAGCTTGCGTAAACTTGTAAGCAAAGGCATGGGGCTATGTTCTGCGACGGTCCAAGACATTGGGCTTTCAAGCGGACGAGCCTGGATTCTTGCTAAATTCCTGGCTTGCACCCCTGTAACGCAATACTGGGTTAAAGACAAACATCTCTTGTTCTTACTTACATTCAACAGAGCCCAGAACTACTGCTGATGATGTGAATCCTGCAGTACTTTCGGGACCCTAAACTATGGGAATTATATGGCATATTCCTTATTATGCATAACGCAGGATCGATATCATCAACGGTATTTAGAAAACAGATAATCCTTCATGCCTAGGCCCTAAAAGCAACTTCAAGCATATGGGTGGTTGTCAAAATTACGGTCCCTTTTTGGGTACCCTAAATATTAGGTGCCGTATTATATTGCGGACCCAAAAAGGAACCATAATTTTGACAACCACCCATATTCTTGATTCCCGAGATACCTGATGAGTCTCTTTACAGCTAAGAGAACCTTTCTAAAGCCCTATAACGAGGACCTAAGCACCCGTACAAAACCTCTCAAACCTTGCAGAACCTTCGTAAACCTTGATATAGTGGCCCGAATCAGGGGCTAGAAGGTATATGGTACTGTAGTTTTTCTCCATTTCATACGAACGAATGGTTATGCCACCTCAACCGAGCTTCTATCATGCTCTGTCTCGGCATAGCCTGCGTGGCTCGCGCGGCATCGTTGGCCGTCTTGTCCTGCACGATTGCAACCAGGGTTTTGATTTGACGGTTTTTCACTCTAAACCCTTTTCATCCACTCTAAACCCTAAACCCCTCAACCCTAAAACCCTAAACCTATGGTTTTCACTCTAAACCCTAAACCCCTCAACCCTAAACCCCTGAACCCTGAACCACCAGCCTTCTAGAGTTGCTTAGATTGTCCGTCTTCTTTCCGCCATAAGGGCTTGCGAATCTGTTGCTATCGGGGCTGGTGCGTTTTACCAGCATTTTGAACGAAAGCATCCATGGTGCCTCGCTACAAGATCCTCACCCATCGCTTTGGGCATTTAAATGGCGAAAAGGATTATTACTACTACCACTGCTATTGGTATTGTGATTCTGATTACCAGTGTTAATATTGATACTCGTCTGGTTATTATGATTACCACTACCACTATCTTTCCTATTATGATTACGTTTGTTATACTATTACTATTGCTGCTTTTCAGGGCTCAGGGGAATTCTCAGTCCAAACCCCCTACCTTCGCAACAACAAAGCCCTTCCTGCAGACGCAAATCTCTAGCAGGGCTTTGGGGGTTAGAGGATCAGGGTATAGGGTTAGAGTTTAGGGATTAGGGTTTAGGGATTAGGGTTCAAGTTTTTTTAGAGATTAGGGATGAGGGTTTGGAGTTAAGGGCTTAGGGTTTAAGTTTTTAAGAGTTTAGGGATTAATGCTTAGAGCTTAAGGGTTTAATCTTGCAGAGGGGAGGATCAAACGAATCCAACAAGAACAGTTTCAGATGCAGAGGCTAGGTCAGTTTAAGGTTTAGTATGTCTTAGGGTTTTCTTTCGGTGTCTCGGGTCTAGGAATTTTAATATTTGAATTTTGTGTCTACGCGACATTGGACTTTGAAGGACAAGGAAACGGTGCTGCAAACCCCAGCACAGCTCCGTGGCATTCAGCGTGGAGTTCTGCTCCGTGCTAGTACGCAGGGACCACTGGAGCAAATTCTGTGCAGTTCCAGGTAGAGCTTCACCTGGTTCGCAGCTTATAGATCGTAAACAGAACTCTGACGCGTCCTTCCATCCTAAGGTTGTTTCGCTGCTGCACTGCCCTCTAAACTTAGACCTCTACACCTCCATCTGCGAGCAACCCCGCTTGTCCTTTTGTGTAGAGCCTCTATTCTTTCTAGTTTCCTGCTCTAGCCCGTTTACCCAGCAATAAGCGTAGAAGACGGACTGGTCCGGAGGAGGACAACTCGTGGTTTAAGTAAGGGACAGCTGAGAACTTGTTTTCTTGCAACTGGCTCGCCCCCGTCAGACCAGGACAGCTGTCTGTTTCCACGCTGCACTCGTGACGACGTGAACGCAGAAGCCGCAAGTGACGGGTTGAGATGAAAGGGCTTTAGGGTTGAGGGTTTATAGGGTTTAGCCCTAAAACCTAAACCCTTTGCGTTCAAGCTGGGAACTCGTGAGCACCTTCCCCCACCACGCACACACACACACACACACACCATACTCATTGACAGTGGTAGAGTGTGCTAAACTGAACATGCGCCCGAACCCTGACAACTCTAAGCGCCTCGCGCTTCACGCTTTAAGGCGATGATCTGAACCCTTAACCCTAAACCCTAAAAAACCCTATAAACCCTAAAACCTAAAAACATAAACCCTATACCCTAAACCCTAAAGCCTAAACCCTAAAGCCTAAACCCTAAAACCCTATAAGCCCTAAGCCCTAAAGAGGCCAGGGCTCTGGGACCTCGGGGCCTGAACACCCTGAAGCTTTGAGTTTAGGAACCTACCTCGTCAGCGTCGTAAGTCGGCTATACTTGGATTTGGAAACAGCCTTACCGGGTTTAGGGTTTAGGGGTTTGGGGGTTTGGGGGTTAAGGTGTTTAGAGGTTTTTTTTCCCACTCGCTTCGCTGACAAGTCGAACTACAGGGAACAAAGCTTCGAGAGAGTTACGTGCGCAAGTCCCAGGGTTAAGCAACCTCTTCGTTCAAGGACCGGGTAGGCTATGTTTAGAGGTTTAGGGTTTAGGGTGGGTTATCCCAGTTGGAGCTAGAACTCGACATAGAACGTTCGCTAAACCTTCCCTGAAAAGGCGAAAACCCTCCTCGTCTCCATGCTGCAGCTGTTCACTACTGTTGATGGACAAAATTCTGCATGACCCAAATATAGGATAGTACCATAAATCCCATAGTTTAGGTATATAAGGTCATGCAGGATTTTGTCCATCAGCCCTACCACTACCACTACCAGGACGACGACGACTACTACTACTACTACCACCAGACAGAGTTTGGTTTCGGGGGTCAAAACTCGCTACCTCCATGCCCGCTTTTTGTAGAAGAAGCGCAGTTGCTGGCTTTATCGTCCCTGCATGTCCTTTTCTTTTTTTCCTAAACCCTAAACCCTAAAGGGGTGGGGGGGGGGCAGTTGGGGCTTCGGACTTGCTTCCCATGCCTCGAGCAGAAGCTCTTGACAACTACACCCAAGCCCTAGGCTGCCATCCCCGGAGGTCACGACCTGAAGGCTTTTCTAAAGTACATGGCGGCCCTCGGAAGGACGCTGCTAATCTTGTGATGAACTGCCATCCTGAACCGTCCCTCAACATTCAGCCTAGCCGCAGGTCTCGGCGGTAGCAGGCGTGGAGAGAGCCAGAATGCAGGCAGCAATGCCAAGAAATCCTGGCAGCTTAAGGGCTCAGGGGACTTAGTAAGTAGTTAGACATGGGAGAACAAGCCCCCTAATTAAGTGGAGCTATCCTGATCATAACCTGCCTTGCTTGTTACTTGCAACCGAACCTACGAAGTCCCTTCAGACCTTAAGTAACAGTGTTATGAGCGGGCCCAGGTATGCTCCAAACTTTAGGCCCTAAACCCTGAACCCTAAACCCCTGAATCCTAAACCCCTGAACCCTCATGAAACCCCTCCAGAGAGCACTTAACCCGTTCAAACGCCCGCAGAGCCTGGACACGACACTAACCCTGAAGTTAGGCCTTATATGTTGGGCACTGCCTGGCCCCATGCAGTGACACTACATATATATATATATAAGTGTGTGTGTGTGTGTGTATGTATATATGCATGCAAGCATGCATGTATGTATGTGTGTGTATATATAAAGGCAACCGTGAAGGGCCTCATAATATATGGCCTTATTGCAGATACCTAGAGTGACCAAGGTAATTTGAAAACCAAGGGAAATGGACCGACTTTTTGGCGCGATATCCTTGTTGTTTAAGGTGCCTTGGTTAATGTAGGGACCTTAATCATTAGAATAGGGTTTTGGGGTCTATTATAGTATAAATATAAGAAGGAACAAAGTAATTATTCAGGCCCCTACATTACTCTAGGTAGGGCTTCCAGGCTTTATGGGAGGTTCCGAACATTGACAGTGCAGTGCATTAGACGCACGGCTTCTTCCCCGATCTGCTACCATGCAGACTAGCTCGACCACTATAGGCGTCACAATGATTAGACTGGGGTTTTGGGACAAATACTATAGTTCTAGTTGATAATCAACTTATATGTCGAGCCTCGACCATTTGGCATCTTGCATGTTGTAAGGGTTTCGGTAGAATCTTGCAGGAAAATGTAGGTTCTGTACTTACCGCCCTTAGAACCATATCAAAAACAGCGTTTTTAATCGGACCTTTGGAGTTTTTCTTACAACAAAAACGCAAAATAATTCCGACGAGCACTAAAGTGTACCCTTCAATAAACCCCAATCCCAAACGACCCCCCTAAACCCGAAACCCTAAACTCCAGTTTCACATGGGCCCACAGACTGCGAGCACGCAGGCCTGAACGATTAGAGTAGGGCTTTCGATCCGCGGTATGTTGTAGCAGAGTCAATTATGGAGTTGGGGTTTAGGTTTTAGAGTTTAGGGTTTAGGGTCTAGGGTTTAAGAACTATCTTGGGACTACAAGCTAGCGCTAATCATGATTATTCCTAAATCCTGACAGAAACCCTTAAACATCGTGGGTAAGACCCCCAATGCCTGAAGCAAAACGACCTTCGGGCACAAGCAAAACCTGCTACACAAACCTCAACCAACAAATCCACATAAAGGCCTAAACCCTAAACCCTAAACCTAAACCCTAAACCAACAAAGGCAAACATAAAGGCCTTACGGGAGCCCGGAAAGTCTGAGTCTCTTATGGGACCCTGTCTAGGAATCCAAAGGTACCATGGAGCCTTTGTGGAAGCCGAGGGAACTCCCGCAGCCCATGAAATTCGAGCTACACCTCAGTGTTTTCGGCTGTCCGGAGATTGCAACCCAAGAGGGTCCATACACACCACTACAGTATTATGGAAATGGGTCCCGCACTTAATTCCGGAATGGTAGTATGTATGGACTTGCTGGGAAAGGGTCCCTTACATAAGGGTTCCTGTCGGGTTCATTAGGGATTTGGTGCTGAGTAGCTCTTCGGGTTTCGCGCCTCGGGAAAAAGACTTAGGGCTAGTGAGGTTGGGATTGAGGGGTTTAGGGTAAAGTGCTTAGTGCTTAGGAGGTTCAGGGTTTACGGTGTCAGGCTTGTTGGCTAAATTGGTTTAATCTTAGGGCCTTAATAATTAGAACTAGAAATTAGAACTGTGCTTCTAATAAGGACCCCCCCCAAAAAAAAATACTATTGGTAGGCCCCTATATTAGGGAAATCCAGGGCTGGGGGGCTGATAAGGTTAGTTGGGGAGGCGTAGTTGGGGATTTTAGGGTTTGGGGCGTTTGAGGGGTTTTAGGGTTTGGGGCTTGGGGTGTGTGCGCTTTTTTGTCGGCTCTTTTCTACCTGCTTGAGTGACGGCGTCGAGTGCCAAGTTTGGCAGAAAATTGAATCGCGAGTCCTGCCAAAGAACTGAGAATTCCTGTGAGGGCCTTGGCGATCAGAATCAGGGCTTGGGTATGCGGGGCATGTCGAAGTGGTAGGATTGAACGAAGTATACTTTGGTCAGGCTGTTTTAGGGACGAATATGAGGGAATGTTATTTCTAGTCTGTCAGGCCTCCATTAGTGCATGTCTCGGCCAGGCACCCGGACGCAAGCACCAATAAGTCTCACGAGCTGCAAGCCCATTGCCCCAACATAGGGTGCGAGTGAGGTCTTGCGGCATACTTTGCTAGAATCATATCAAGAAGCTCGACGGGCTAGTATTACTGATGACTCATACTTCTATATTCCCAGCAACCCGCGCACAAAGAGCTCGAACTGACCGGTACAACCGCCGGGCGAGATACGGTGCACGTGACTTCCGCAAGTAAGCAGCTAGAACAAACCTTTACTCACATACCTCGGCAACATCAGTTCGCCGCATCTCGCTGCAAGTGCACATGTTCAGCACCTGTCGCCAAAAGCAGCACGTGCAGCATATCACATAGAACCATCAACTAACCCATACTCGCAATCCCCACATGCAGCCAATCACAAAAGGTGCTGGCGGACTGTGCATAAGAACGAGTATCACGGCATCACAACAAATAACTCGATTTGAGCTGCAACAGCGTCACTGTGCACATTGTCAGCTTCCCAAATGCTATTCTCATTTAAATGCAAGCAGACTTCTGACCGATGTGACGCCATTGATTGCCAGCGCCGGAACTCACACCACAACAAGGCTAACGACCTCCGTGCTGGCGTAGCACACGCAGCTTCCCTGCAAAGTCATTCCAATGCATTCGGCGTTCACTAGCTGCACCTCGCAGTCGCCTCCCATTAGAGGACGAACAGGAAGCTGTGGAAGAAGCGTGGCAGTGTCGTTCCATTTCTCCGCTATGGTCACGTTGGTCAGGTTCGTTGTGTTCCGCACGTTGGCAACCTCTGCCCACATCTGCTTGAACTTGTCGGTTACATCGGAGCCCAATGGCAAGCTTGCCGCCGCCGTCGTCTCCGAAAGGACAAGGGGATCAATCATGCGCTTGTTGACCGCGAAAGACGAGTGCCCTTCCAGCAGCGCAAAATTGAAGTCGGAAGTTTGTCCCGGAACAATCCTGGGCTTTGAAGTAACCAGGGAGAAAAAAGTATAGACTTTAATTTCATAATGGTTCCCTTAAGGAACAGGTCCCCCCAAAAAAAGTATTCAAGTACGGTACTCCAAAGCCGAGAATCTTGTCATTCGGGCCTAGCGCCCAAATCAAGACCCAACCACGGCTCCTTGCCCAGGCTTGCAACTTGACTCCCATGTCCTTGCTTGTCCAGTCTCTCAGGGAACTAAACCAAGGGCTCAGCTTCGGTATTATCATGTTGACGGTGTTATAGTACCCCGAAAAATACAAGGTTAAAGGTCAACCCTGAACCCTTAAAAAACACTCTCTGAAACACTAAAGTCCCAAAGCCAACTCTACTTACTGCGAAGTGTCGGTGCCGAAGAGGGCTGGAAAAGCACCGATGAGAAAGCGAATTGCCGCCGGGTACTGCAATTGGCCTAGGCTGTTCAGTTCTCCACCGAGAAAAAGTCTTTCCTTCTCAGTTTAATCATATAACAAGCCTAGGTCACTGGCAGTATAGGAGCCCAGAAACATACAGTAACGAACACATATCCCTAAACCCTAAACAGTTCTAAACATCTTAACTTCTAGACCCCTGACGCCCTAAACCCTAAGTCCCGAAACCCGTGTAGAACAACCTAGTGGCCAAGGAGAGCACCTTCGAAGTAGTTCAGGAACGATCCGGTTGCCACGCCATGATGACCCCAAGGAGCCTCAGGGGGGTGTGGGGATTTAGGGTTTAGGATTTAGGGTTTAGGATTTAGGGGTTTTGAGGACTTTGGGGTTTAGGGGTTTGGGTATTTAGAGGGACTAAAGGGATGTAGGGGTTTGGGGACTTCGGGATGTAGGATTTACATCTTCGTTCCCGAGTTCATAGGCACCAAAACGTTCAAACTTTCTGTCGTGAAGAGGCTTCTTCTCATCTCAAAACAAGTTTCAGATTCACATTCTGCCAACTAGCTGATCTAGGGGCCTAAAATGGGCTCTTTGTTGCATGGGGTACTATGCTTCAAAAACCGGGAACCCAAGGACTGGTATGGGAAAATCCTCAGGCTTTTGTAGTACCAAGGCCTCCACCCTAAACCCTAAACCCTAAAAGTACCAAGGCCTCCATCCTCTGGAAGGCGGTATAGAGGAGACCAAGACCACCCCAGAAGTTCTTGTTGACCAACCAAAGGTGCTTGTTGTGCTGGAGTGTACCCAGCTGCTGGAAGCCTCTGAGGGCTTTCTGGGTTTAGGTTTAGGGTTTCGGGTTTAGGGTGTACCTGTAGCCGAAAAAACCTACCTTTTTTCCCGCGGCTCCCTTCTTATGGTCTCTATATATGTAGCCCCTGGAAAGGATTGGTTTCCTGGGCCATAGGTCGGGCTGAAGTAGGGCTATTGTCTCGCTCGAGTTTCGGGCTTTGGGTCTAGGGCTTTTCCCTGAGGGTTTGAAGGGGCTGAGTTTAGGGTTCAGGGTTTAGGGCTTAGGGTTTAGGGCTTCGGGTTTAGGGCTTTTGCTGAGGGTTTAGCTGCTTGAGGCCTCTGAGGGCACTGCAGTTGTATGCAACTTGCACGGGGACGACCGACTTGTCAAGGCAGCCCATCTCATACAAGCCAGTGTCGGTTGGAGATAACAGTGTGCCTCTCTTTTCGCAAGAACCAAACCAAAAAAACAACTTCACAACGTAGACCGAAGAAGAAACACAAACAAGTTAAAAGTCCTCCCATTGGCTACGTAAGGTGCTGTTCAAGATGTACTTCTGCGCAAAAACGGCTGAGACGTCACCATAGATGGGACTTCCCATGTCAATCAAGTCCAAGTTGACCATGGAATAGACCGGACGCTCGCCAGCTTCCATGAGGGTTGATGGTGCCCCACGGACCTGAAATGGCTTCATGCCATACGCGAAGGTCTCTGCATGATCCTGGGCCCCGAATTGCTCAGAGTTGTTCTGCATGGTGTAAGTGTGGCAGTGGCCATCTGCCACATACACCTGCGTAGCTGTCAAAAGCAAGATCCCTCCGGGGAACCCACCATAATTCCACTCTTAATACGCCACCCTACAGTTTGGAAACCCAAAAGAGTGACCCGAGTTTGGATAACAACCCCCAAACCCGGAACCCTAAACCCTGATCCCTGAAGGAGGGGATCCACTATGGCCTTCAGATCCTAATTTGGACAACCCCCCACCTCTGTGTTAAACACGGCCTCTTGCGGCGGACAATCGACTTTCTTCGGTTCGCTAGTGGCCGCCAGAGATCTGAGTTGCTGAGTTCACAAGCCCCAAAAACGTTCAAACATTTCGCCTCCCACCTACCAAGGACAAGCCCGAATTGCAGGGATATTGCAGAGAAAAGTTTATTAAACATGCTTAATCTTGCTGTTCTATAGGTTGCCCTAGATTATCGCCAAAAGTGTACGTAGAGCATACTAATTCATCTACTACTGTTGATGGTATAAATCCTGCATTACCTTAAGGACCCTAAACTATGGGAATTATGGTATATTCCTTCTTGTGGGTTCTGCAGGATTTATGTCATCAACTGTCTGAGATGGCCTCTTCCAGCCACCAGAGACACCAGAGCTGTTCTCAGCCATCCACATGGTAGAATTCACCTGGGTTCCCCGGTAGCCCCTAAATAATAAGGGTAACCTTTCTCCCACTATTTAATTATTATGGGAACCCCAAAAAGAAAAAGTGCAAAAGGGTACTACTGGGGAACCTAGTGACATTACCTGACTCGGAGTCATAGTCGTAGCGCACGATCATGCTCATGCCCGGGGAATAGGGCTGCTCATAGCACGTAGAGAGTAGCATCTCCATGGGCTGAGTCTTGTTGCCGGTACATCCGCCGAACCACTGCTCTTGAGTTACGGTTTTTCCGGAGGAGTTGACACGAAAAGCTACGTATGTGGCTTCAAGACCATGCCAGACTTCCTCTGGATCCGTGGAGTGTAGCAAAATGGCTTGCCAGTCATTCAAGAAGAAGGTGCCGTTCATGCCAAAGCCGATAGACATTCCTGCAGAATCCGGAAACATCTTCGTAGGATCTTGGTCTGCAGGGAAACCCGATGCAAGTTCGGCCACCTGAATCTGCTTGGAGAGTCTGTCCAATAGCTCTGCGGCTGGAAGTTTTGCTACGGATGGGCAGCAGGAGGAAAGGTTCGCACGGAAGTCCTTTGAATCGAAGAAAGCCAAGAGCTCTGGCTCTGCGGCTTTCGACTGCTCGGCTGCACTCTTCTCCACCTCACTGAAGACCTGTTTTTGCCATTCTGTCAGCGGTGCGCCGATAGCATTGCCAGCAACAAGCTGGAGCGACAGCACCAGGCCCGTCAGAATGCCGCGAGCCATGAGGAGGATTCGACCCCTTTAGAGGCTTGCACGCTGTTCTTGAAACCCACGGTGACGGCTCCTCGTACCTACTTCAGAATAGTGTATACGTGCACGGACGGCGCTGGAATAGTGTTGAGAATGCGATTTCACTTTCAAGAACTGTCTCGACCCAGGGCATCGGATTTGGAGTTCGTGATGCTGGACTTCAGCCTTTCCTCAACCCCAAAAACGCGCAATATAGCAGCCTCAACATTGACTAAGACTATGCCTTATAGCACTATGGTTCCACATGACATATGCGTGCTATGCGTGACCCCCAAACCTATTCTTATCGTTCAGTCCACGCAAAAGACACGAGTGACTAGTGGTGCATTTCATCCGTATCTGAAAGACTCTGCCGAGCTTGGACATGTAGGCGCCTGTAAAACATTTTTGTGGTTCTCTAAAGTAGGGTCCCTTTTCAGATCCCCAATGTAGTAAGGCATCCTATAATAAGGACCCCAGCAGGGACCCTAATTTAGAGAACCACCAAAATGATTCGAAGAGGGTTTGAGGGTATGCTATGCTGTTATACTAAATTCATAAGCCCTACATCACCCTCGGTCGCTGTCAGGAGTGGGACGACACGTTCCAGCTAGAGCAGCGAGGACGGGTACCCTCTTGCAGCCATCAACAGGCTTTCCACTTCGCCCGGAGTTGGAGCTAGCGCAAACCCTGAACCCTAAACCCTAAACCCCCAAACCCTAAACCCCCAAACCCTAAACCCTAAACCCCTAAACCCTAAGCCCTAAACCCCTAAACCCTAAACCCTAAACCCTAAACGTCAAATCTCTGGATGCGCTGAGACTCCGACTAGCTCGTCGCAGTGCTGATGCCGCAAAGGGGGTAAGGTTGGCTTGAGCACCACATGGCTAGTTCTCTAATAAAAAAGGGTCCCTTTTAGGGTCCTTTTTTATAAGGGTGCCGTACTACAATTTTGGGGACCTAAAACGGGACCCTAATTTTAATTTAGAGAAGTTACCCACATGCAGTTAGAAGCAGCTCACAGCTGGGGGGGTTGGGCTTCTGGTCTTGGCGCACATGGCCTTCGTCCTCCAGGCATACAGATGTCCCTCACCGCCCTTACCATAAATTCCCAGGTCATGGGGGGTCTTCATAAGGGACTCTCTCCAGCACGGTAGAAGCAGGGAGCACGGCTCAGAGTCTAAGATGCAAAGGAACTGCCTTTTGTTCCATGCTGATGCTCGCCATCGACGGACAACAGCAGAAGATAAAGCTTTCTGCACAGTGTCCAGACTTGGGAGGATTCCGAATTTCGGTCCCTGAAACTGGCTTTGACCCTACATCCAGAACCCTATTCAGCACGGACTGAGGTGCCGGCCCATCCAGAACCCTAAAACCTAAACCCTAAACCCCGGGGTCCCTTGATCCTCCCACAAGCTGGGTGTCCTTGGGGAACTATCGCTGTGGCTTGCGCGGGCTCCATTGGACTTGTGCCGAAATGAAGGTCCTAGAGGGCCCACGCACACACAAAAAAAAACAGTTCTCTAGAATCAGATGTGGATCATGGGGTTTAGGGTTTAGGGTTTCGGGACTCTACTTGAGGGGATCATGAGGGTTGAGTATGTCGGATACACTGGGGTTTACAATGCGAATATATACTAAGTTCCTGAACCCCTGAGTAGGCTATATCCAAAAGACACGTGCAGTGAAAACTTCGTCTGTGCCAATGTAAGGTGTGTACACCTACTATGAGATCTATGAGCAAGTGAGGCTGAACAAAACATACTGCATAACGACATGCGTACCTGCTTCCTCACATGCATCCATACGCTCGCATCTCCTTACTTTCTTGCGTAACATGATGGCCGCCACAGGACAGTATGCATGTATGTATGCATAGATGCATACATGGATTTCTGATGACGCTGATGACTTATGTATGCATCCATGCATGTCTGACCGTCTGTCTGTCTGTCTGTCTGTCTGGCTGCATGCCTTGCCGTCTGTTTTTTTGCTGCGGGACTCCCTGGCCGTCTGCCTGCCTATTTGCCTGCCTAGCTGGCTGCCTGGCTGGCTGGCTATCGCTCTCTCGCTCCTCTGTCTCGCTGTATGCATGTCAGGCATGTTGTGTGAATGCAAGACCAGATGTAAATGCGATGTACATCAAGTTCTGCAGGCCATAAGGCGGCCTCTGGGAGGAGCAGGCAAATGAACTCACGCGTACAACTACACACGGTGTAAACATGCGACTGAGCATTACATCATGGAGGGTAATGTAAAGCATAGAGTAGAGCCGTGTGACGTAGTGCCATGCAAGGATTTAATTTAATGTGCTGTGGCGTTGTCTACATAATGTAAAGCATTGCCAAGCATGCCGCGCAGTGCATGAATGTTCGGTCCGTCTGTCTGTCCCACGATCTGTCTGTGTGTCTGTGTGTCTGTCTGCATGTATGGTTTGAACGTACCGGCTATCTTGAGCCTTGGTGCGTGCAGAACCGAAACTTGAGACCGACACCAGCTTATGCTAAGCTGATGGAATTCTTCGGTCAAGGATATGTGTACCCTCTTCCGGTGCTGAGGAAGATCTCACACGCAAAGCCGTGGCTAGCATTCATCGCTGGCCGCAGCAGCTGCACATGCTTTGTGCCGTTCTCCGGTTGGGGCTTTGAGGTCCTGTGAGTATGGGCTGGCTTGGCCTTTGATTTGTGTCGCCTTTGAGTTTCAAGCATTGTTTCTGCATGCGTTTAAGGTTTACGGCTTCGGGCAGCTACGTTTCGGGTACATACTTGTCGGATGACCGCCGAGAACGGAAGTCCATTCCACAATTGACGAAGATTGGAATGATGTGGATCGGGAAAACAACTCAGGGATATACTTCATGCGTGCTCTTCTAGCCACTGGTGCTGCTATAGTCTACAAAGAGTTCGAGCTTCCACCTCAAATAATCGCAGGAAGCAAATTTCTACAGCTTCCGAGACTAGCAACTTACCCGAGGCTTTTCGACCCACTTGCACCCTTCGACGATTTTTCTGTGAACCGTCCAAAATATCCAAGAGCCCGAACCCGCTTTCCGAACAAGCAGATGTAATACACGGTGAATTGAATGTGTCAACTGTGTCAACCTTTCAAAGTCCCCAAAGGTCCGAAGCGGAGCACAACCACTACTTGTACTACTACCTCTACTACTCCAACTACTACTACTACTACTACTACTACTACTACTACTACTACGACTACCACTACCACTACCACTACCACTACCACTTCCACTTCTGCTACTGCTACTGCTACTACTACTACTACTACTACTACTACTACTACGACTACTACTATGAGATCAAGCACCAAGAAGCTTAGCCTGGAAATTGGAGAACTCTGCAAACTCCGGCAACCATGGCTTGGAGGACGTGCATTGGAGGGTGCCTTACGCGCCCTCATGCTACACTTCGGTGTGCAGTTCCTCATCGCTTTGACCACCTGGAAACAGGCCGAAGCTACTCCGTCGACCGGGGGCTCTTGATGTTCAGGTACTCAACTTGAGTTACCACAATAGGGGTATGCAGCTAAACACTAAACCTTTCTTCTGATGATAACTTACCTCTAAGCCCGAAATTCATCCCTGTACCTTACGAAGAATCCCAGCCTGCAGGCTTAAAGATGTTGTAAATAAATTTCGAAGGTTTCGTTTTCATGTCGACGGCCATCAAAACGGTAGGTTTTGTGGGGTCCAAACGGGTCGCGGTTTTGGAATCTATGACATTGAGCCTCACATGCTGCAAACTATCAATATGGGTTTTTCCCACACATGACGGTGCCGTTTGCCGGGTTGCTTGTAAGAGGGGCGCTCTGATTTGGGGTTTTGCTTCCGGAAGTCCAGAGCGAGAGAACGACAACGACGACCGACAACAACGGCGGCAGCGACACACTTTCTTAACAACAATAACATCAGCAGCATCAGCGGCCACTCTTGAACACAAAATTGAATGCGACCGTTAAAACGAAACCAGGCACTATGATAACAAACGGGCCTGAACAATTAGAACATGTTACATGGGGTTCAAGTGTACATTATACTATACATTACTATACTAGTTACTATACTGACCAAAAGGAGCCCTAAACAGATAATATCAGTCACTTACCGGGCTTCCACGTTTGACCTCAACCTTGATCCTGCTGCTTGGCTCAGGAAAAGGCCTTCGTAATTAGCATAGCACTCAGAGACATCTGGAACCTGTTTAGCATATTATGCTGGTATACTTGTATAGGGACTATAAGGGGATATGAATACCGAATGGTTCAGGTTCGTTATTGTTCTAAGCTCTGAACCCCAGCACCTTTGGGCGGAGGGCCTCTGAAACGGCTTCAAACCTAGACACCCAGAAGCCCGCATCCTGCTTGAATGACTGTGGGACGAGGTAAGTCGGGTGTGATTGGGATTGGGTTTAGGGTTTAGAGCTTTTTCCCCATTCTTAGGATATTGGGTTCAGGGTTTAAAGCTTTTTTTCCTAGGTTTAGGATTTAGGGAGCAACCTGAATCCTATAAACATTGTTTCGCAACGTCTTCATTGCAATGGCACTGCCCGGAAGGACTGACGCCTTCAGGCCAACATTGTCCCTTGCTTCGAAGAGCTCACAGCATATTGAACCCCGCTGGTATGTAATATAGGGGCCGAAATAATTACCAATCCTATTCTGGGGTTCCGTAATATAGTATGATAAGCCCCCAAACCCAATTCGAATTATTAAGGCCCCTATAGTACGTTGGAGATCCTTCTCTCAACGAACCATACAACACAGCCGCGTGAGCACGAGTCGATCTTTGTCGCGGCAAAGTCCAATAGCTCTTGAAACTCATCCAGATCCGCGCACATCATCCAGCTGCAGGCAAAACCACGTTTACCTTAAATCCTAAGCCCATTTTATGCCTGGGCTATGAAATGCCAGAATCCTAGGCCCAAAGCCCTAAACCCTGAATCAAAACCTGCAGAGCCCTGAACCTAGAAGTAGAGGAA